CTATCTCGGGTTTTAATTTTCTTTCTCATTGTCATGTGGCTATAAAAGGTGATCCCAGCCCTACCTCCAAGCTTGAAGGACACAGGTGGGTGAGCCTGGACCAAAGCAAGAAAATCCATGCATACCTGGCCTTCTGCATGACGTCTTATTGCTGGGTAACAAATCACCGCACACTTAGTGCTTAAAACAGCACACGCTTAGCATAGCTCAGTATCCATGATGCAAGAGGCTGGTGAAAGTTTAGCCAGGTCTTCTGACCACAGTCTCACAAGATTATACTCTATGTGCTGGCTGGTCTGGCTCTCACCTGTGACTCGGGGTTCTTGCTTTCAAGGGCATTTGATCATTGGCAGAATTATTTCCTTACATCTGTGGAAATCCTAACAGCTTTCTTCTCAGGGCCAGGGGGAGAGAAAGTCTCAACATCCAGACCCTCTGCTCAAGCAGTTACCTGATTAGGTCAGGCCCACCCAGGATAGTCTTCCTTTTGATGAACTTATAGTTAACCTAATTGACTTCTGCAAATGCCTTGCTCCTTTTCCACATTCTATTAACTAGAAGCAAGTTACGTATCAGTTCTAGTCTCTTTTCTGCCACTGTAACAGAATACCACAGACAGTAAATCATAAGCAATAGAAATTCACCTGACAAGTAGCTCTGCTGGCTGGGAGGTGCCACAGCATGGTGTGAGCACTGGAAAGGGCCTTCCTGCTGCACCCTGACATGGCAGAAGGGCAAACAAGCACACACACAGCAAGACAGAAGGCCGGGGCGGGACCCACCTTCTATCAGGAGACCACTCCCAGGCAATAGCATTGATGCATTCACAAAGGCGAAACCCTTGTGACCTAACCACTTTGACACCATTACACTGGTAATTCGATGTCAACATGGACCGGGAGGGGACATCGGAACCGTAGGGACAGGAAGGGGCCTTATGCAATGCCCACCCCACCTCCCATCAGAACTCTTCCCGAGCACCCCCCAGATTCCCAGAGCTGGGCCGTGACAAAATGTCCCTTCCTGAGCCCCCTTACACCCAGCTCCAGCCTGCCAGCTTGATCCCAACAAGCAGCCCAGTAGCCAGCCTGAAACAATTCAGAATCTTCCCATACAAAGGATGAAACGGAGACAGCAACCGAGATAGGGTGAAATCGTTGGACTCCTTGTCCAATGCTCTTTCCCACAAACTGAGTTTTCTCTCCCTGGTTTCGTCTTCACTGGGTCCAGAGCCCCAAGCCAGATTGCTGGATGCCCTGACCTAGCAGCCTTGGTCAACTACCTTCCTACTTCTCAGAGTGCTGAGCACAAGGAGAGATGCGTGGGAGCTTTTCCAGTATGCGTGGAGAGAAGAGCTCACTGTCCTCAGAAGACACATACTTCTTCTACCATAACGCTGCTGGGCTTCCACATCTGAGACGGCTGCTGCAGTGCCAGCCATCACACCCACAGACCAACCGACAGGAAGGGAGAAGGAGAGGACACACCCATTCCCTCTATACTACTTCTCCTTACACCCCATTGACCCTAAGTTAGTTACATAGCCACTAATAATTGCAAAGAATGCAGGAAAATGTAGTTTTCTTCTAGATAATGCTGTGTGATACAGGAAGGAGGCAGTGCGTTGGGAGATGTCTGCCTGGTCTGTAATTGAAGGGACAGGATTTTTCTTTTGTATCCAAATACTTTCAGTAGCCTGGATGTGATTCTACAGTCTTTGACTGCTTCATCACGCGAAATGTGTACGTGTTCTTTCCCTCACTCCTCCTCTTGCTCATTTATTCATGAGTTCATTCACGCCCTCATCTATCAGAAAGTCTTTTCTGTGTCTTGCGCAGAGCGGAGCCTGTGGTCAGCATGCAGAATATAGAGGGGAAAGGCCAGGGATGTAGCTCAGCAGCACAGCGCCTGCCCCGGCAAGTGCGAGGCCCTGAGTTCGATTCCCAGTACCAAACAGACAAACAAAAACGAATATAGAGGAAAAGACAGAGCCTGCCCCCAGTTTGCAGGCAGCCAGCAGGGAGGAACTGTGGCATTTTCGTATTTCATGCTATGTGCGTGTGCAAAGGCTGCCCTGAGTATACTGTGGGCCCTGACACACGTGGGGCTGGGCACGGGCTCTGGGGAGGTAACAACCCATCTGAGCCTCCAAAAGCCAAACTTCAGCCGGGAGGGAGCAAGGGGCCCGAAATGTGTGCCCTGTCCTTGGTGCTGAGCACCAGGCCCACCGGAAGGCCGCTCTAAGGGAGGTCTGGCCAGCCCCGGTGCCTACTCTCACCCACTCTGGGCTGGCACACAAGGGCGGGCAGGTGGGATGCCAGTAGTGTAGCATTTAGCTACACATTTCGTTTTCCTAACGACCTTCCTGTTTCCTCTCTCAGTCTCGCTTGTCAGTCTGCGACCATTAAATTCCTCATTAGCAAACGAGATTTGGATGAGCTCATTAAAATGAGGGATAGTCCCAGCGTGCTGGGATGGGGGAGCTAGAGCTCTTCCTCCCATTCTTTCCTCCCCCTTCTTTATTAAAAAATAATGCACCTGCTATTCTGTGCATCCATCGCCAGGTCCACTGCCAGCCCCAAAGAGACCCCATGGGACTCCTGCTGGGGGCAGCTTAAGGCCAGGCAGGGGATGACAGCACTACAAGCAGCAATGTGGGTGATGACTCACAAGTATTTTCAAGGTCACCCAATCCGGGACTGGGCTTTTGCCACTGCACATTAAAGCTCAGACTCCCACATGTGATATTTGAACTCTTCCTGATCATGTTTCAGTCCCTTCTCCAGCCTACCATCCTGTCCTCCCCACGAATCCCCTGTGTTTGGGCAATGGGTGAGGATCTTTGGCCGAGGCAAGCTGGAACCGGCTCCTACCAGCTCCTGGGGGATGCCCCTTACACAGAGGAAAGTTTTGCGAGACAATGAACGTCAAGCTGAAATGAGTCCTGGGGGACGTTCACACTGTGGGAATTGGCAAATGCTATAGGCAAGAGCTTTGATCAGAGAGCTGTACCGGAAACAGTTGCCGACACCCCTGTTAGAGGGCACCTGAACATGGCACACATGCGCGTGTCTCCTTGTCTCTGCCTTTGCCAGGCCTCCTGGCCGCCCAGAGGTCCTCCCTGTCCCTCTTCTCTGCCCGCAGAAAACCCAGTCACTCTTCAAGACGCCAGCAAGGAGTCCAGCCCCTCTGCACCCCAACAGGGCAGGGATCCTACACCAGCCAAGACTGCTCATCCTGCTCATCTGCCTGAGGAGTCTTTTGGTTGCCATCTGTGGAAACTAAAGCTAAAGGGAAGGCAAGAAATACGTGGGAAGAGAGATGAGAAGGATCTCCCGCTGCCCAGGGCAGAAAGCCCGGCTTGTCTCCAGAGATGAGGGGGTCAGTCAGTGAGGGGGTCAGTCAGTGCTCTTTCTCTGGGACCCCCTAGTGTCTGGCTCTCCCCACACCTTCCCACCGTGGCTTCCCCAGAGAACCGGCCCCTGCCCTACAGTTTGCATGAAACCTGAAGCCACTCAGCCACAGCCTCTGAGTTCCAGTTCCAAACTCCAGACCGTACTAGGTTTATACAATTATCGGAAGCCATGAGGTGGGGTCCCAGGGCCCCAGATAGGGCCACACAGCCACCGTCTCCAGCAGGCTCTGTAGGGCTGGTTCTGAGAAGGACACAAGGCACAGCTGGAAAGCTGGCCCATCTGCTTTCTAGCTCCCTCTTCCTGGCACAGAGTGGACAGTTAATACATATTGTAAAATAAATGAACAGCCTCACACTTTGACTCTACTCTCAGCAGATGGGCATGGAGGAAGAGGCAGAAGACTTGGAGGAAGTCCACGGTGGCACTCCACATGCAGGCAGTGAGACGTCTTTGTCTGCCGGCTCCTAGCTGTGTGACCTTGGCGGAGACACTTAACCTCTCTGTTCTTCTGAGGCCACATCCGTAAAATAGGGATGTGACCTTGGAAGTGATCTTCGGTGGCGCGGCTCGCATGGCTGACACAGTGGACACTTACCACGGGTATGGCTTCTGTCCTCTGAACTAATCTAAAATCACAGAACGAATGGGATCCTCACTGCTCTGGAGGGAGGCTTCCTTCCTGGGTCTGATGTGATTCTTTCTGTTAGCCACACACTCTGACTCTCTCCAACCCCACCAGTCCTTTCCTGGGGGTGAAATCCTAAGGTGAGCCCGCGCTGGCAGCTGACCACAGCAAGCCCCTTCCCAGGGGCTGAAGCTTTCCTGTGTCTTTATCAACAAGCCAGCTCGCTGTGAGGGCAAGGCCTGCGAAGGAGTTCAGAGCGGGAAGGTGAGAAGACACTAGCGTCCCCCGCCCCACCGCCCACCCCTGCTCCTCCCTGGCCCCGGCTGAGGAAGGGAGAAGCCCCTGCCCAAATCCTGGGTGCTCCTGACGGAGGTGGGGTTGCAATCACACCCCCAGAACCAGAACCCCTCTCCAAGACTCAGCCACGCCGGAGGCTGGTTAGGGCCGCTTCTGTCTCAGCCCATCCCTCTCCAAAGGGGACCCAGGGCCTTGGGGCGCGGGACATCGTTCAGAGAGAGATGGAGGTGGAGATCGCCGGCACTTGGGCTTCCTCTCTGCCTAGAGGCGGGTACATCTCCTGCGCCCCTGAATCCAGTCAAGGTTCGCGCAAATCCACACACCAGAGAAGTAAGCGGAAAGACAGGAGGTGAGCGCAGAGACGCCTCTG